AACTTATCACGACCCCACGGATCCTGCAAAGATGAAGACAGTTCTTTGTTTATTATACAACAATTCCACAACTAGATTACCCATAGAGAAACCTACGTATGGGTAACATAAATGTAGAAAGAAAAATGTGTTAGCAGATTTAGATACTTCACGTAGTATTTGGAAATTTTAAGAACATAATTTATCCAGGCATTTTATGATTTCCCCATTATTCATACTACATCAGTGATTGTTTGATCCTGGCGCATTGATACTCAACTTCTAAAAGAGGCAAAGTGCATACACACGTCTAACATTTCAGACTTCTGTACGTTTACTTCGTTCGTTCGTTTGTTATCTTTTAATATACTTTTTGCTTTTCTTTTTGTTTATTTCTGCTGTCTGGACAAATTTTTCAGTTCGTTCGAAGGAGGTTTTCCTTAATGATGTGACGTAGAGGAAAAGTTTTCGTGCAAAACATACTCAACTTAGTAACCAATCATTATGAATCGCCGAGGAAGGGCTGGGGGCGGGAAGGGGGGATAGTGGCCCGAGAATTTTTGTTGTGTCACAATCAAATTTACCTGATTCCCTTATAAAGCTCTATGGTATTCTAAAGAACCCCTAATCCCTGATTGGCTGTCAATTTGTTATAATCTCCCTTGTAAACTCTGTTTGCGGCGACCGACCCTCCCCCCCCTGCTGTTCCCCTGAGATCCACGTGATTTCCCGCAAATTTCCCCTACCTTCTTCCCTTTGGCGATAAATAATGACCGGTCTCTGATTTTGAAAGCATAAAATATTCTCGCCTGCACAGAAAGTATGAACCCACTCTCGTCAGTTTCTGGTGGAAAACCATCCACTCGGATTCTAATCCCATAATCAGAAGCATCTTTTGCTTGAACGTTAGTTAACTGGAAAGCCACGAGGCCGCGTGTCAAGTCTCCCACCCAGTGTAAACGCCTTGCGATCGAGAGATTTCCTTTAGATACTGTTTCACTCCTCGTTGATTTTCGAACAAACGTTAGCAAGTGATCGCCTTCTATCATGTCGTATTCATTGCTCCAGTGCGCAAAGGCAACATTCAATTCCTTTGCTTTTTCCTCCTCAGTGAGAATAAAATTCCAAACAAATGTTTGATTAGATCCAACGAAGGACACTATCGTTTTATTCGGTTGAGTAATCATTTGTAAGCCACTTGCTTTATTCACCACTAAAAGAGGGAAATAAAGACAAAAACAGAAAAACAAGGTGAGAATTTTATGCTTTGCAGATATTTCACTTCGATTGGGAAAAAAAGCGTACAGCAAAATCTGAGAAATGAAATGAAAAAGAATGTTAAATGGTGAAAGTTAAGACTTAATAGTTAATGTTAAAGTTAATGTTAAAGAGGTTCTGTAAATGTTTTTTTCGAAAAACGTGGTAAGCCTGTTTCTGTCTATCAAGCGGGTCACCACAGCCACCAACTTATTGTTAAAAGAACACTTTTATCATTCTTTATTTCCAGCACACGAATTAGCTTGATAAATATATCATTTTGAAAATTTCAGCCAAATGTCTAATTTTTCACATTTCTGGATCCTTAATCATGACAAGCGGTTTTCATAACCTTCTTAAAGACATGGAATATCTTAAATCCTGATTCCTTTCGACTATCCCTCCCACCATACATTCCCGACCCCCACCCCACCTCAACTTTCTCTACATTTCTCGCCCTTTCCTTATCCAGTACCGGTTCCTAACCGGTCAACATATTTTTGCAAAATGAAGGTCATACAAAAGAAACTCGTTTTTCAGTAATGGAATTACGCAATCAATGGTCTAATTGTCAATTTGGTTGACAAGCCTGTGCAAAGAAATGAGGCCGAAACCCAGTTGTTTCTTAACTAGGTTATCGTGCAAACTATACTGTCTTTAATACCACGAGAGGTTCAATATCGGCCTTAGCTCTATTGAAAGGCTGAGGGTGATAGGCTGAGGGTGATAGGCTAAATCTATGGGGTGATAGGCTAAATTGTGTGGGTGCTTTAATCAATTATCCAAAACGGGTGCAACAGCCTTAACAATAATAACTCCCGGGAAACGGAAATTTTATTAGTCGAGTCACCCTTCACGTACAATTTACCAATTGGTTAGACGTGTTCCTGTTTTCATTCAACTCGCGTTCCGATTATTCATGAGGCACAAAAACTCTATCAAACCACCCCCGGCCCCCCCACCCACCCTAGAGTGAGAACTTAATACAGAATACATACCTGCAATAAAGTAGACTTAGTTTAAAACTTTATTGTTTGGATAGTTCGAGGCTACCTGCTATTACTTGCACATTAATGAATTTCCGTCTTCATTTTCTTTTTTTTTCATTAATCAATTGATTATAATGCCCCAGTTCAGGGACGCTATCGAGTCATTTAATGAAGCAAAACTACATAATAAGTTAGATAAGGGCCAAAATGCAACCAAGGCTGGTTAATACACACGAGCAGTATACTCGGACCACATACATATCATCAGATGGCCTCATGAAACGGCAGAGAAGTTAGAAAAAGGTTCTATGGCTAGGTTGCAGCCGCACTTCTGAGTGCATGTCTAGGCCTGCAAACTTGCTGCTGTTTCAATGTCCTCGTTTTGTGGACCTAAAGGAATTATTTGAGCCCCGCCTCGTTCTTTGCCAAGTGTACAGCAATTTGTTCGGTTTCTCCGTTGTTTTCGCCAGCAAACAAACGCCACTACCAAACTAACAGCGAACACAGCAACTGCACCACTGAGGTATATGTACATCCTTAAGCTTCTGTGGTGGCGGGCATTCATCGTTGTTTGACCTAAGGAAAAAAATAGAATCGTTCGAATTTATAGAGAGTCATAAAGAGACAGAGTGGAATTTTCTCTTACCAAGTTTGCTAAAAAATGTTTCTGGTCCACAAAAGTACCTTTCTTTCAACAGTGGAGTACACGAAGTTATAAGTTCAGGATATATGAATAATTCTCAGCATTTTTATGATTTTATAAACGGCTGATTAGGTAACTAGATAAGATTGAGCACATTTCTCTTCCGCACAGCAACAATAGATCAACCCAGGCCAGCTTCGTCGATGAAAACAACAGCTTTATCATGAGATGGTTTGTACCTGGATATTGAGTTCCTGTTGTGGACATTGATTCGCTTGCTGGCTCGTCAGCTACGAAAATGAATGAAATGGGATGCAATTCAAAATGGAAGGAAATATGGTCTTTCGCATTTTACATTGGCCATACTACACCATTCCTGGCATCAGTAAAGTACTTGTCACTACAGGTAAATGGGGTTTCTTCCAAACAACTATGGGACTTAAATCTTTTTATGTAGTCACACATTGAATGACCATTTGCAGCTATCAGAAAACTTTGATCAAAACAATTTGTCAAAACAAATTTTATTTCAACTAATGCCTCAAAAACAGATACAAGTACTCTCTCTTCATTGTACCAGGTCGATATGTTCTTTGCTGTTGCCAACCACCAGACACCTTGAAAAAGTTCACTAAAACTATTTTCATTGGCTCCTATTTCTAGGAATAACCTTCCTTGACTACCAGTATTTCCACCGTAGTGACACAATTTGTTAACAGGTTGTTATTGTTATCTAGTTCATGGTTGTGCAGGCAATGTGCCAATGGTTTCAAAAGAAAAAGTAGTAGTATTTGTCTTAATAAACAAGCATACAATAAATTTTCTGTCGTATATATCTTCATCCCAAATCTTTTGGTCGCAGCTTAAGTTCCATGTTTAAACTGCATTAAGGCAAAATCACCAAAAATTCCAAAAAACCTCATTCCACCACTATCTACCTTTCAGCCAGAACAATTTCTCATTTGTCCATTGACAACAATATCTTTCTAACCTTGCTGTAACGAGTTAACAAAATTTTCAATGAGAGGCAATGTTTGAAAGTATAAGTTTACACCACTGCTTTGATCATGACTGAAAGGGTCCACAAGCTGTGCCAGTGTTTCTTGTTGAGTAGGAGAAAGTGTTATAGCTGAACAAGGAACTTGGACATCGTTATTTGTTTGTAACTCAGGCATTGGTGCATCATCATCAATCCCATAACCCTCTGACATGCTTACTAAATAATTTGAATCACCTTGAACTAGACTATTGTATAGCCCTTCAAACATCAACTGCATGGGTGTCTGCCATCTCTGTGAAGACAAACCATGGTTATTCCACTGAAGAATAAACTCATCAATACTTCTGTTAATCCTTGGTTGATACACATAATGAAGGGCAGAGAGGTGTACCTCATTAACTGGATCCAACAAGGCAGACATTTCCAAAAGAGTGAATATGTTTCTATATGGCACAACAATGTACCTCACAACATCAATCCAAAGACGTTCAATGCGTTGGTTATGTACAGAAAGACCTGTTAATACATGTTCCCTCTACACCATGAACATCTAACATCAACTTAGCCACATCAATGTTTTCTGAACCATGATCACAACGTATATGTGTGGGAAGACCAAAGGTATTTACTGCCTTATTAAACAACCTAAGAACAGTATCACCTCTATTATTGGTATTACACTGGAGAAACACCACTACCCTTGAAAAGCCATCTATGGCTTATCTCCATCCGATCAGTTTGTGGTGACCATCAAGATGCCTAAGATAAATTACAACATAACACAATTGTTATGGAATGGAATATGTACAATGTACATTTAAATTAAAGTTAAATAAGGTAATTCTGAGAGACCTCACCAACTAGCAGAACTTAGAAAAGGAGACTACATGTACAAACTCTCCTGACTCTGAATTCTACATGTACAATCGCTCCAAGATGTATTTAAAAAATTATGACGAATTCTGTAGTGCTTGTAGCAAGCGTATTTCACTAAGACACCTTTTTCAGTCAACAATACCTCTTGGAAATTATCCTTACTAGCAAGTAGAATTCTAGAAAATTTCGATTAAGCTTATATTGGATGCTTTGTGTGTGATAAATGGATTGATGGACCAGGCAGGTGTAAATGGCAGGTCACAGGTCACACATAGAGGTCACCATCCTAGACATAAATAAGCAAGCCAAAAAGTGTCTCCTCACCCACATGGCCTGTTCGCGTGACCTGTGTTTCATACCTGCCAGTAATGGACCATGAGATCATAAAGTGAATATTTTGCAAAAATACAGTAGTCTTTCCCCAAAAGTAATATAATAGGAAAGGGAGGATACTGTATTATTCTACTGTAGTAGAAGCAACTGCGATTCACAAAAAGAGAAAATAATGACAATATCGTCAAAAGCTTAGAAATATCCACTCTTCTGTCAGCGGTCCAAACTGACACGTGGAAGCAGCCTTTCGCAATCGGTTAACAAAACTATCTATGGTTTCTTCAGGGGTCTGCGTGCACATATTAAACTGATAGCGTTCGTAAACCACATTTCTCTTCGGCTTAAAGTATGCCTCTAACGCGTGAATGCATGCTTCGACGTTACGTTGTTGTTCGGCGTCGAGTTTTTAGGTTAAGAAAAATCTTTAAACATTCCTTACCCATTATGGAGCGAAACGTGGCAAGGCGTATCTTCTGCTCCTGTTGATCGAGGCCTGTGGCGACTTCGTAGTCTGTCCACTGTTGCCTGAAGAATTCCCAGTTGTTTACTGGATCTCCCTTCACGTTTATCGGTGAAGGTAACGGGAAATCCTATGTGAACGTGAGAGCGCGTGTAATGGCCGGCACGGACGTTGCAGGCGTATCGGGTATTTGCCCAAACGGCTTGTGTAGCATTCTTAGTTCGACTTTCGTACGTAAAGAGGCGGTTAGCCAGAGCTACTGTATTTTACTCTTCTGACACCATGTAGGAAGACGCACACACTTCGGAGTGTAGGTTGAAATGCACTTTATTCTAATCACGAGACCCTAGATAAATCGGTATTAATGTCAAACACGTCCACCGGAAGTGCCGTCTACTGTCGACTGTTGCCTGGTTTATAATCTTGGGCCGAGCAGGGATCCTTGAGGGACACCGTATTTAATAGGAAGAAGAGCCGACCTTTTGCTGTTTATTTCTGTATATTGATATCTATCAAATAGATAATTCATTAGCCACTGATGTAATGGGCCTGAGATATCAACTGCATGGAGCTTGAAAGATAGGATCTCATGTGAGACAGTGTCAAAAGCTTTTTGGAAGTCTATGAAAATAGCCCCAACAATTTGTCCCTTGTCCATAGCTAGCTTCCACTTTTCTGTCATAGTAAGAAGTAANGGAAAGCTACAGATTCTTAACTCATCACAGGCAAGAGCCAGCAATGGCACTCCGTCAGTAAAACAGTCGCTTTGATAGGACACACAGCCTACATTGTAAACAGTACTACCCACCCATCGCAGCTCATCAAGAGATAAAGGAATATCAGGGTCTTCAAGAGCATCGTGAATAACCTTGCTTGCTTGCTGTGCCATTTTTTCTTATGAACCTCGTTTATTGTTTGGGTTTGCATGTTTTCACCATCTCAATCATAAGGTTTCTAAAAGGGTTTGTGGGGACACCAGATCCCTCCCCCCCTCCTTGTGCAGCTACACCCCTGGATTGGAACACCTTGTTCCTTGTTCTCTCTGATGACCAGTGTTACATAGTAGTACTGTTATTTAGTACTATAACCACAACTTGAATAGGCATAGAAAGCTGTGTCAAATACATGCTGTGCTCTTTATCCCATTTGATATCTTACTTGTGGAGAGTACTGTTTTTGTTCAGTTAATGGTAACTTAAGTTTATGTCGAAGCTATGAAATACTGTAGATTAAGATAGAGGTAAAAGAGTACAGAAGGTTTAGTGTACTGTGTTTAACACCTCATACGTTTTGATAAAAGGATACAACTTGAATTACTGCTTGAACCTCCACAGGTTTTAAAGGTATCTGTTTCAACTTTGGATGTAGAGGAAATTTTCCATCAGAGTGTGGTTTAACTATTGCATTGACTGTAAGTTTACTCACTTCAAGTTATTTGGAACCTTAAGGTTGAGCAATTCACTGGGTTTAGCGGCCTTTACCACAAACAAAAGTTTTACATGGAATCAATAGAGGTGTTTTATCAAAGACTTAAAAGGGCAACTCTCAATCACATCATTTTGCTGTTAAAACTTATTTTCCAAGAACTCCAACAGTCAAATTACTTTGAGGATATAACAAAACTAGGATAATAGTGACATGTCTGATAATTGTTTTAATATTAATACTCTGTATCATCTATTTCTCTTTCAGGATTCAAACAAGACAATGGTCTTGCAGGGCATAATAATGCATGATGTCCTGGGGCACCCTAAAATACTTCTTGATCAAGTGCGAGATGGCCTTGCAGTGC